TGGCAGCAGGCTCAACAGGATGGAGTGCCCTACTACATAGCCGCCGAATTGGATTACGACCGACCGGAGGACAACCGCACCAGGCGCTTTGTGGTGGGCGATGGCAAGCGATACGGACGATTCGTCAATAAGCCGTTGGATCAGCCAGATGCGCATGTCCACATAAGTCTCGGATTGGTGAGTAATGATTGGATTGGGCAACTGCTATGGAGCCTTAATAGCTCAACTGACTATTTGTTATATGAAACTTTTGAATGACTATTAATATTCTAGGTGAGCACATTGGAAGGCGTCACCAAGACGTTGTACAGTCGTGGAACCCACGACCAGCACGTGACTTCGCTGGACGACTTTAGTTACGCCACCTTTGAGAAGGGTCAATCCTCGGTGGTGGCCCTGGCCGTCACCTGTGTGATCTTCGGCACCTGCCTCTTGCTCAGTCTGATTGCCTACTTTTATCTGCGTTACAAGACCTGCCGAGGACGACGATTGACTGGTGGCAATGCCCACGAGATGACGCTGCAAACCCCAATAATCGAGCGGGAAAACAACGGATACCTGGTGGAGGACGATCCACTGCCGCACTCGCCGGAAAACTTCAAGCAGCAGTTGCAACAGTTGGTGGAGGGATTCGAACGGATACCAAGGAATGCACTACGGCTAAATGTGAACGATGTGATCGGAGACGGACGCTTTGGCGAGATTATAACCGGAAAGGTTTCAAACAACGATTTTGCCAGAGATTGTACCCTGCACGTGCTCTGCCTGGACGACTTGAATGGCACTACTCAGGCACAGTTGCTGCGAGAGCTACGTCAGTTGTCTCAATTGAAGCGGCAGGACCATTTGCTGGATTTTTATGGAGTATCTGCGAGTCCGGATTGGTTCTACCTAATCTTCGAGCAGCAGCGCATGAGTCTAAAGCGAAAATTGGCGGAGAGTCGCCTGATGGCACCGTCGCAATGCCTCACTTCCCTCTCCGAGCAGCTAGTGCTGCAGTGGATCTACGAGCTGGCCAGCGCCATGACCTATCTATCCAGCTGCCAAGTGGTGCATCGACAGCTCTGCTCGCACAGCGTCTTCGTGACCGGCGAGTTCAAGCTGAAGCTGAGCGTCTTTGGACCGCTGCCGTACATGAACATCGCTCGCCAGCAGCCAGACCACAGTAGGTGGCTGGCTCCAGAGGTTCTGCGTTACCAGCATCACCATTCCACGCGATCCGATGTCTGGTCCCTGGCCTGCGTGGCGTGGGAGTGCTGTGCCCTGGGAGGTACGCCCTATGCCAATGCAGTGGCAAGTAACCAACAGCTTCTAGAGGCCATTCGAGCTGCAGTGCGTCCGGCACAGCCAGCCTACGTCTACGGGGATCTCTACCAGCTGCTGCTCAACTGCTGGCAGCTGGAGCCGAGCGAGCGGAGCAGCTGTGAGGACGTGGCTTTCGGAGTACGTCAGCTGATGACCTCACCTCGGCATGCCCTCAGCTTTGATCGAGTGGCCGGCGGACTAGACACCCTGCCTCCGTACCTGCCGCAGCTGGAAGCAATTGCGACGATGGGCTGAGTTGCAGCCGAATAGAATAATTAGCTTTAGTCAGCGAGAGACCATATTCGCAAAAAGTAGATTTCGGTTCTGAGTCACTGCGCCCGAGAGTAAACATCTATTCATTTGGATTTTAGATGTGTTTGTTCACTTTCAGTGTTCTGGAGAGAAAATAATTTGTTTTAGAATTTACATATCGCTGGAATAAAGCTCATAAATTGTTAAAATATGTACATTAGCAGTTCTTATGCACCATATTATATTAGAAGTGAGCATTTATGAAACACAATTCGCTGTTTTGATTCCACTACTGTTTATTGCTACTGTTTAGTGTTTACTGCTGATACGCACAAACTTCCTACGCTAATATATACAAATAAAAGAGAGTTCAACGCCAGATCTTATCAGATACATAAGGTAGTTAATTGGTAATCTATAACTCAAACGAAATGAATCGACTTTCCCCCACGCGAAACAAAGTTCAATCGAACGTGCGCGATAAAGAGCGAAAGATAAAAGACTATTGACAGTCTGGGCTCCAAGATTGTGTAATAAATTGAGGGATCCATGGCGAATGGATCTCCTACCAGACCAGCGACTGTTATTCCCCGCTGATGTTGCAGAAACCAGACAAAAACAATAACTAAGGCCAAAAAACCAACAGAGAGAGCGGCGAATGCGAAACTTTGATCGCTGGCGAGCAGCAATTAATAATAGAAAATAAACGCTGGCGTTGCTCAAGTGTTAGTGGATCAAAATTGACGATTAATCAGTTTAAAGGTCTTGCATTGCATCTATTGTTTGTTATGTTGTTTAAGAATTAATTGGGGATTTGTTGGCAGCAGCCTAGATGCTGTTACATGCTTTATTAGTCATCGGAGAGAGTAGACCACTATGTATTCTTTTCGTTTGGGCCTTAACCTAATAATGGAACTGCAGAGAAAAAAATGAGATCAACCTAATAGCGAAAAAAGCTGCTAAAATATTTACTTTGAGTTTAGATTGTTAATAAATTTCGTGATTTTTGAGTCAAGTACAGCTTATCTCGGGATCCTTTCTAAAGACGATAAGAAATCGTTTCTCTTGTCGACGTGTAACTATTGGAACCACTCAAACCCAAAGCACATGGCTCTTGCCGAAAATAGAGCGACTTTCTTATAGAGTATATAGTAAATACGGTAAATGAAGCGCAACGATATCCATAGCGACTTTTGGACGCTTACCTTGCCCACAATTCAAGGTGAAATGACGACGAACAATTGAAGTCACTGAAATGTGTATACATTCCGCGCAAATGGGCAATTATTATTAATAAATCGAGCTATCGGAATTCAGGGGCTTCGGCTGCCGACCATGCCGATCATGATGATGATGATGAGGTTCATCCGGAATTGGCCAACTTTGCGAGTGTTTTGCATTCGCCTGGGCAAATTGTTATTGTTTTTGTTACATACACACATGAGGAATCCAAGGAAACTGGTTGCTCACACACGCACACCAACGTACTTTGACAGAGCCACTCACGCACACCACCACAGGGTCGGCTAACTGCGCCAATAATGCTCCATTGTTACTCACTTTATTTAACCATTTACATCGGACACTGCGACTCCCTCTGCAATGCGATTTTTTGACACTTTGCTAGCAGAAAAGTACGTATTTTGTTTGTGCTCTGCTAATGGTGTGACCGTATGCGGTTGCCCCAAAAATCACCCCTGAACGTGGGGTGTTATCGATAAATAAGACGTTAGCCAACACTGAACGGCATATCGATAACATGTCGATATTTTGGTATTAGCTAGTTGGTATATTTCAACGGTCACCACACGGTCACACTGCATTTAGCGAAACGAACGGCCACACTGCGCTGGACCGATGATGTGGATTTAAATGTTAAATAGTTTAAAATTAGTTATAGCAAATAGCTATGGACATCACCCAGAGCTTCAAGGCCAGTGTAATGACGGTGCGCCTGCAGCGCAAGGCCGAGCTGGCCGGCAAGGCGAAGCCCGCCACTGCGCCCACTAAAACTGGACCAACTGGCCCAAAGGATGACTTCGCCAAGCAGGCCAAGGAGGTGTGCAACAAGATCACTTCGCTGCGCAATGTGCTGATCGACAACCGCACCGCCTACATGCGCATTGGCCAGCACCTGAAGTCCGCCGCGCACATGACCGACGCCCAGCGGGATCTGATTGATCGCGAGTCGGAGAAGTTCGTCACCTTCTACACGCAGCATCTGGGCAAGATGCGCAGCGATTGGAAGAACGCCAAGCGGAAGCCCCAGGAGCGCCAGCACATCGATGCCGTGCTGGACCTGCTAGTCAGCTATCTGCACAGCGTGGAGCAGATCTATCTGGACCAAAAGAAATACCGGGTGCAGCACGAATTGGACACGTATAGGCTGGTCAAGCTGGCGGCGGACAAAAAGAAGATACCAGTGCGTCCGGCGGGCAGCAACAGTGGCAAGCTGGGTAGGCGCCAGGTCAGCAACGATGACAGCGATGCCACGGAGTCTACTCCACAAACAAATAGCAACCACGATGAGTCCGCCGACAACGATTGGAATAACGACGGCTGGGGCGACTGGGATGAGGACGAGGAAGGCGTCGAGGTGGACGACCACGATGGGCAGAACGAGAAGGAGAGCAACCAGGCCAATCAACACAAGCCGCGTACGCGCAAACGAAGCAAACCCAACAGGTCGACCTTAAACGACTCATCCGCTAAGGTGGCTCTGGATGAGGAGCTTCAAAAGCAGCAGGAGGCCGACGATGACGATCCCCTAAGCGCCGAGGATGTGCAGCTCTTCGAGGCGGAGAACGTGCACATCTACAACTTTCTGCAGGGCGTCTCCGAGGAGGTGGAGCAGATTGAAAAGAATGTGGTGGATATTGCACAACTGCAGGACATTTTCACTGAGAAGGTAAGATAGCATAATAACGCACGTTCCAAAGACTGCATGCTTAATCACAAATCATTTTGAGGAGAACATATTGCTCCATATTGCCAAGACGACTTTTCATTCAAGTGGTGGCCCATATGTTCGTCGACTTAATCCGTCAATTAAAAATATTAATTGGTTTCGCTAAATCCCACATCCTTCGCGATTACAAAGTATAAGCCGGGCTCTTATTAGCATGCAATTAATTATCAACTAGTTCCAGCTAGATCCACGACCTAATCGCCTCTAATCCTCTTAAATTCCCCTTTTTAGGTCGCCATGCAACAGCACAACATCGATAGGATAGTTAGTGCCGTCGTGGGCACCACGGAAAACGTCAAGGACGCCAACGAGCAAATCCGCCAGGCCACTCAACGAAATGCAGGGCTACGCGTGTGGTCGCTGTTCTTCCTGCTGGTCATGTCGTTCTCCCTGCTCTTCTTGGACTGGTACTACGATTAAGTGAAGCCCCAAAATTTATGTGAAACACCTTTAAGGAATGAGAAATGCAAACATGTTTCGTTATCGTTTGATCGCACTAAAAGCATAATTTTGTTTATTACATAATTTATAAATAAAAGGAAAATATTTGTATAGGCTATTCAACTGCCTTGTTTCATTTCAATGAAACCTCATACAATAATATGGAACTAAAATCGATTTGAGCTGTCTCACACACGTCACGTGTTAGTAGTTCATTTACATAGATTCTACACCGAAATGTGGATAACCAATAATGTTTTAGTGTTGCTTGGTACATTGTTTATATCTAGGGCCTTAGTCCTATTATTTTCATTAAACGCTCTTCAAAAAAATATTTATATCTAACTGGGAACGGAAATCAGCAGTAAGTATGTATATGTATATATGGTCTAAGGCCTAAAGTTAACCTTTGCGTATTTGTTTCAGTTGATTTCATTACATGAATGTCTAGATTCTAACTAGCTTAGGTCTAATATTTTGTAGCCTTAAGATTTGTGTCTGAGGGAGTGTATCCTTGGCTTAGTCGCTATGTGTTTTATTTTAGGTGCAATATTGGATTGCATTCAATGCAGTCTGCTGGTTCTTTTGTATGTTGCTTTTCTTTTTGTTTTCTTTTGTTTAGAATAAGAGTTAAGAGTTACTTATTGGTTGGCTCTCCAATGGGAAGAATGGAAGCTATTCCCCACAGAGTGTGGTAATAGTGTAGGAAGGCGCCGATATTATTTGGCTAGGTTGCTTGTGATTACTTATAACTAAAGCGTTGTATACTAAATAATAATCCGGCCCCGTGGGTTATGGCGTTGTGGCAATGGATTCCAGAGTCACGCTGTTGCCGGCACAGCTCTCCACCGAATTGGGGTATTCGTCTGGGCTGTGGTACACGTGGCCGCCGCAGCTCATCGGCGTCAAAGGTGTCTCCTCGATGGGCGTGGGCGGATTCTCCAGCTTGTCTGGTGTGCTGCTGGTGTGGCTATTGTTGCTGCAGGGTGACTTTGATGCGGCTTCCTCGTTGCGGAATACACCCAACGGCAAATGGGTTTTCATGTGAGCTAATGAAAATCAAAAGGAAATTAGTTATTACACGTTTCACTCGTTTGACAGGCTTTCAACAAGTAACATCTTAACGTAGGCCATGCAAAAAGCCGGCATTTGTCATTTACCTATCCTTACTCGTGTTTCTTACGACAAACTAGAACAGAACCTAATACTTAAATAAATGTGGAATAGTGCTGCCAACTATGTAGACACATCGCAGTTTGGTAAGTATGAACATAGGACATTCAACATTAAGACAGCTGAAATATTACTGATGGAGAATCACTTGGGCGAGGCTTTTGGAAAACTCCCAATAGTTCTTAATCTCACGCTTCAGTGACACCTTCAATAATATATAAGGAAATCATTATTCATAAATATCAAAATTCGATAAGGAAGTGAAAGCTCTTCTGGTAATGCATTTATTTTTGAATTCGAGTTAACAATGTTGGCAACACCATTTGTGGACGAGACTGGCGAGACTTTACCCCGAAAATTCGTGAAACGCATAAAGGAGCTTGGACAGAATTTGCATTTGTAAAACATCTCGCTGTGGGTGCGTCGATGTTTGCGCAACTCTTTCAGATACTCGAACGTCCGATCGCACCCGTCGCAGTGGTAACCGAGCTCTGGAAAAAGACAATTTCGTTGGCCTTTGTATGGTATCGGTATCTATAAATTCGGATCGGTTGTTGTGTTGAGCAATTAGGATTCACACAGTGTGATCTTGAAGGGAGCCAACATAGATAGCGATATAAGTACACTTATGTCAAGCGAATTAAACTAAAGATTTCACTGTACCCGCAAAGAAACAATCAACATTTAACATTGATTGTTAAGGTTTTTGGTTGAAAGTGCGTCGCGAAACCCAAGGTTTCAGCAAGAGGAAATTCCATTGATGTAGAAAGGGAGGAAAGCAGAAGTAAAGCAATCTATATACAGCTTATAAATGTATACTCAATGGAATATTCAACACCCATTTTCTTAGAAATTCCCACGTGTTACGAAACGCACTCCATATCTATGTACCAATTGAATACAAATACATAAGTGTTCTGTGTTCAGTGTTACAGTGTCCAGGTCATTGGATTAATAACAAAGGGCAGCTAATTGTCAATCATTAGGCAAGCTGAGCCAGAGCCGTCGGAAATCAGCGTTTAATTGTCAGAGTTCATATCAACGGGTAATTAGCTTTTATACAATTTTTGCAAGCCGCTCGTTCGAGCTCATACAACTACCAAGTGTGGCTTATTTATTGTTATTTTTTCGTTTGTATCTTGTAGCCACTCACGAAACTGCATGCGCAAGTTCATAAACGGTTTATGATGGCTTAAAGCTAAAAGCATAATACATAAGCTGTGTGTTTTTCATGCCAAGCATTAGGAATACCCATGCCATAAATCGATATTGGTATTCTCGAGACGAAAGCGATTCGTTCACGGTTGTCATACCTTTGGTGCACATAACCCACGCTTCAATAAACTGCCGCCAACAACAGCAACAATACAGCGATAACAATTGATAGAGGTAGATAGATTAGTAAGAGGCTTATAACTCAAGCTACGACAGAGCAACACTAAGACTAAATGAATGGGGATTAGTACACGGTAGGTTAACTGCTAGGCAACCAACATACAACAAGTAATGTAACAACGAAGTAAACCCTTTTGGTGGTGCTCGGGGTTCGGCCCGCCACCGAAACTTACCTCCGTGGAACTTAATGTGCGTCTTGAGGGCACTCTCCGTGCCAAACTGCTTGCCACACTCGTCGCAGGTGTGCGGCTTGGAGAGCAGGTGCACCGTGATCTTGTGCAGCGTTAGCTGCGACGGTCGCGGGAACCGGACGTGGCAAATGTTGCACTCATACGGCCGTCCCTCCACATCGTGCGACTCCATGTGACGATGCAGCGCCGTACGCATGCGGTAGCCCCGCTTGCAGATGGTGCACACAAACGGCATGGTGGTCTGTGCTCCGTGGGCCAGCTGATGGTGCTTCTTGAGGGAAATTTCGTTGGTGAATCGCTCCTCGCAGTACAGACAATGGTGGCTCGTCCGCAGCTCGCTCACCTGCACCGTGGACGCGACGGCGGGCGATGGGGGCGGCGCTGGCGATGCCGGCGGTGCCGGAGAAGCTGGCGGTATGTGATCCACCGTCGATGAGGAGGGCGACGATGAGGGCGATGGCGAGGCCACCGGTGTGGCCAAATGCAGCGGGCCCTGTGGCCCAACGATCACGCCTCGCTTGCGATACTGTCGCAACGTGGTCGTGGAATCTGGCTCGGATTGTTCCGGCGACGGCATTGTTATGTGCTGCGCGTACACCATGGGCTGCGGCGATGGAACCGAGACGATGGTCGATGGCGGTGTGAGCACCGTTGGCGGAGTCTGCAGTGTCGCCAGCTCCTCGAACTGTTCGTTGCCATGGCTGTGGCCGGAAGTGCCTGTAACGGGAGGAAGACCAGTTTTAGATAGGAACCAATTAAGATTGCTGCCTGTCGTTATCAACAGGCTGGTCAAGTTAAGTCATGGGTTAGATGCAGCTTAGTGATTAGGCCATTATTCCATTTTACTTACAGTCTTCGCAGTCGGGACAGCAAAGAATCTTTCGTGGCGTTGTTGGGCTTGCTTGCATTTCCACTGCTGTTGTGGAATTCATGGTTTAATAAGAGATTGTTTGGTGAAAGTACAAGTACACAGTATTACTCACTTGATGGATGGGGCGACTGCGGCTGCATTAACGGTTGTTGCTGTGGTTGCTGCACTTGCAACACATGTTGCTGCTGTTGCTGCGCCACTTGTTGCTGCGGCTGTTGCTGCTGCGGTTGCGCTTGTACCAGTTGCTGCACTTGTTGCAATTGGTGCTGCTGTTGCTGCTGCAGTTGATGCTGCTGTTGCTGCTGCAGTTGATGTTGTTGTTGCAGTGGATGCTGCTGTTGCTGTGGCGTTTGGGGCAGTTGCTGCAGAGTCTTCCGCTGCTGCTGCTGCTGCACTTGCAACTTCTGCTGCGGCTGCAGCTGATGCTGTTGCAGCTGCAGCCGTGGCTTATACGGCCTACCTCGTGGCCTCCGCTCGCTGGTGATCTGCAGCTTAACGTCCTCCACCTTCACCGCATCCGAGGGATCCCTTTTCAGTGTCATGTGGAAGCGCTGGATGTGAACGTCCAGTGCCTTTTGGGCAGGGAACACCTGCGAGCACTGGCCGCACTGGTACTGCTGCACCACATGGTGGCTGAGGATGTGCTGCGATCGCTTCGTTCTGCCGGCAAAGGCCAGCGGACAGTGTGGACAGTTGAAGGGCGCCACCGCCGGATGCAGATCGATGATATGCCGGCTGTACTCCAGGCTGCTGGAGAAGCGCGGTCCGTTGTGGCAGAAGCGGCACTTGAGCGTTAGCGCCCGACCCCTGGTCGCTGTGACGGGAATGGGGGTCACTTTCGTTGATATGGACGTGGCTCCCGGCATTCCCAATACTGGATGGCTTTGTACGACGCGAGTTTGCTGCTGCTGCTGCTGCTGCTGCTGCAGCCGCTGATACTGCTGGTGGTGATACTGCTGGCGTATCTGCTGGCGTTGCGTGTGCTGCATTTGATGCACTTCGTTGCTGGTGGCCGCAGCATTATAGATGTGCAGCGGTGCCTGCTGCGGATTGCTGGCCGAGGCCACTGGCTGCTGGATCTCCGGCTGCTGGATCAGTATCATAATCGGCTGCTGCTGCGCCTGCTGCTGCTGCTGCGCCTGCTGATGCTGATGCTGATGCTGATGCTGGCGTTGCTGCTGAGACATCTGAATTTGTTGCTGGCAATGTTGCTGCTGGTGATTCACCTGCTCGATCATGTAGCTCTCATTGGATGCTGGTTGCAGCATCGTGTATGTTTCAGTCTGCTGCGGATAAAGATCGCTGGCACTGATGTAGTACGTTGTGGTTGTGGGTGCAACACTCTCGACGGGGGCACTCTTTATGGCCTCCAGTCCGCCCACCGATGACCACTGGACTTGCTGCTGCTGCTGCGACTGCTGTGTCTGCCACTGTCGTGTTTCCGTGCCAGCCGAGGGCAGCGAGATGACCTGCATCTTGTTGGAGGATTGCTGCACCGTCTGCTGTACAATGTGCTGTTGGTAAATCTGCTCGTAGGTGACTGTCGTCGTCGTGCCCTGCGACTGGACATGGGGCACCAACTGGGATTGCAGTTGCACTTGGGGAATCACTTGTTGTTGCGCTTGCGGCACGAGCTGTAGCGATTGTTGCTCCTGGTTTTGGACCTGAATTTGAGGCTCGATTTGCGGTGGGATTTGGTGTTGCATCTGAGTTTGGTCATGAGTTTGTACTTGAGACTGATGGTTTTGTGGAGACTGCACTGCAAGCACATCGTGTTGCATTCGAGACTCGATCTGAGGTTGCATCTGGGTCTCGATTTGAGGTTCCATTTGTATTTCGATCTGAGACTGAACTTGAGGTGATGATATGGGAGATTCGAATGGTGAATGATTAGTGGACGAATCATTTTGAGGCCGTGTATCAGCTTGCACTGGTAGGTTTGATTGGACATCCATTTGGACGGTTGGCTGTGTCTGAATTTCGGTCTTGGCGACCTGCTCCTCTGCCGACGGCTCGGCTTGTGCCGGCTGCAGATCCCTTAGGAACTCGGTCAGTTCCAAATGCAAGTTTTGTCCCTGCTCCGGGGTCTCAATGTTCTCAAAACAGGGAATATCGTTTTGGAAACCAATCAGTTCATTGGTAAAGTTGCTATTATCGAAGGGATCCTCGGTGGCACTGGGCTTCGCCTCCGGTTTGTCCACGGAACTCTGCTCGTAGGGATTCGGTGGCGACGAAACGGACGACTCCTGCTCGGTCAGCGTGGCATAGTCGGCTGGAGTGAGGAACTCATCAATGTGGGCACAGTTTGGTGTGTACATGTGCTGGTCCTGCATCTCGTTGAGGATGCCATTCAAAGTGTTCTCCACGTCGTTCATCTCCACCTCCAGTTTCTGCTTCTCCTCCAGATCGTTGAGGGGCATCAAATCCGAGGGAGTTGGCGATGCCGCCGGAGTCGTGACCTTCAGCTGTTCAATACCGTTCGCACAGTGCTTGGCGAACTCGGCCATAAAGTCCATGGGCGTTGGCCCAGAACGCACTATCGGCAGCTCATCCGCGTCCGCGTCCGCGTTATCCGATTCCGTTCCCCCAGGTGGTGTTGCTTCAATTTTATTGGTTCGGAGTGCCACAGCAGCATTGAAGCTATCTGCTGTAGCACTCTGGCAAAAATTTTCATCGTTTTCGTTGTTGTTCACGTCATCGGGACGCATGGCGAACTCCTTGGGCGAAGCGGACTGGCGATTGGCCGTCTCAGTTTCCGGATCCACGCAAAGGCGACGCTGCAGATTCTCGTCCAGCACCTCCAGCGGTATGCTCACTATGATCTGGTCAGCGGAGTCTGATTCGTCCCCGTTCGTCGTTTCCGTTTGCTGGACAGATGCCTGTTCTTGCATGGAGTCCAGTAGCAAACGAGATTCCTGCTGACCCACAGCTTCCAGCTGCTCAACAGCTTTCGGTTGCGACTCGGTGGATTCGCTGGTTTCGGTGGATGAGGTCAGTTCCTCGGATTGTACTAGATCAGCCTCAGCCCTGATGTCATTTGCAATCGACTCGATTTCCTTTCTAACTTGCAGATCCTCAGCAGAATGTTCCGGAGGAATCGTTTCTTTTATAACGCTGGTGGATTCAAACGCTTGCTCTTTGGGTGATGTTTCCTCACTATTTTGAAGGCTGGCAACGTGGATCTCAGCTTTGGGTAGTTCCGCCTCTACGTCATTGGACGCTATCATACCGTTAACCGACTCCATGTCCATGGCGCTGAGCTGGTTGCAACTGTCTATCAAGCCATTTGATGTGATGTCCTTTTGCTTGTCACACTGCAACATTTCATTTGAGTTGATATCATCCCACTTCATTTGGACCACTTCATTGGACGCCACTTCCAATGGCGCATCGGATGTGCTGTCGATGGCCTCATCACAGGACGGTGCAAGGCCTTCCAACCTTGGTTCCTTCGGATAAATATCCGTTTGATCAGACTTTTTGTTCTCTTCGGTGACTGGCTTCGCGGCGAACTTGCGGTTCAGGGGCTCCTTCCTAACCAGCGATCGCCTCTGCCTTTTGGCCGGTGTGTATATCGGCGCATTCCTGGGACGCCGACCCCGTCGAGGGATTAGATCATACATGGGCGATGACTTCTGGGGTGGCTGCTTCTTAACGATGATCACCGATCTCAGCGCCGAGTTGGAGGTGGAGGACGGGTTGCTGTCGCTTTCGAAGCCACAGCATGGACCGACGGACAAGTCACTCATGTGCTCACTGCTGCTGGTGCTGCTGCGTTCGCGATGGGGCGACGTGACCTCTGGCGAGCAACTGGACGCCCAAGTTTCGGAGAGTTGTTTGCGGGCTGCCTTCGTCTTCCAGGGCATGCTGCTGGCATCGATGGACGACGCGGCTGGACGCTCCATTTCACAGCCAATGGAGAGGGTTCGATACTTGCGCAGTCGGAGTTGCTGAGGACTTGATTTGGGCGGTGGCAAGCTCTCGAATTCCGTTCGCACCTGCTTCGCAGGAACTGTTACTGTTGATGCTTCTGCTGCTCCTGCTGCTGTCGAATCTCCGTCCGATTCGGATACCATGCGGCGCTTTCGTATGGGCAGCTGATGCTCCTCCGTGTGTCCGCAGCTATCGTGTGCCTTCTTTTGGATTTTTTGCTGACGCTTCGCTTGTCTGGCCGTCTGGCGGTCGGATATCTCCTGGGCAAAGTCCTGCAGGCGCTGCTGCATCCGTACACATTTCCGCCGGAACTTGGCCACCATCAAAAACTGGGCCATGCACTGCCGGCAGATTTCTTGCGGCAGTCCATCGTCGCGATTTATCTGGAAGTGAAAGAGCGGGTACGAAAATAAATATTCGATTCATGGAATAAATCATTGTTGGCATTTAAATTGTCATTTTGGGTGCTGAATGATTTGCAGCCCTTAGTTTATTCAATGAAAAAATCTATGGGCTCATACATATATGCAGCAGTGAATTTATTGCGTTTGCTAAATTATTGAAAGTCTACTCTACACACCGATTTTTAAGTTTGAATTTAAACTTTCTCTGGCTAACAATGTGGAATATAAAATCGTAGATGGAATTGTATAGAGACCAAGGCATTTAAAGCCATTAAAACCCATTAACTTATGCTTTTGAAATACTATAATCTATTTTAAGCCACCATTCCTTTTATGGCCTATGTGCCATTAAGTTTTCCTTACTTGTGCAGCATATTATCATGTACATAGATTGCTTAGCGAGAGTTGCATGCAAATATACTACTTAAAAATAGCCTAAACATAGACATTGTCTTGCTCGCTGACTGATTAGATAATAAAATTGTAATCCAGCCAGTTTCCTGCCTTTCCCTCCTTTGCGTTCCATTCGACTCGATTCCATTCACTTTGCCACCAAAACTGACTGACCAAATTATGAATTAATTAACTGACATTGAACATTGAACGTTGAAAAGGCGAAGTCGAAAATCTTTCGCTTCGAACGGCAGTCCACCAGCCACAGCGATGTTTATTAATGATTTATGGGCAGGGCCGGTGCCTCGAAATCCCCAATCTGCACACAGGTGGCGAAGGCGGATTGTATATCGGAACGGATTGGAGCATTCGGGGGGCATTCGAGTGGCAAAAATTCCAAACGCCACAAAAAGCACCTTCGTTTTCTGCGGCGATTTGGAGCAAATAATTTGCTTTTGTTTTCCAATTGAGTGATTTCATTAACTGCAGGCGGGGGAGATTCAACTAATGGTAGTGCCAAGATCCGATACAGAAAAAAGCGCTTTAATTAGGATTTCCTAATCTCTGTCGATACAATTTTGAATTTGTTTACGCGGCCTTACCGCCGAAATAGTGACGAAACACTCTGTGCGCACACGCGACTGCAACCATTTTCGAGCACCATTGGCCGTTGGCTCAAAATGAATTGAAGCAGCGTAGCAGGAGTGGCAAGCTCAAAAAAACGTAATTAACAAGTTCAAGATCTTGTGAATGGGGGGTAAAGAAATCCAGTTACTCACTGTGCGAATGGGGAAAGGGGCAGTGCCGAAGAATGCTGATACAATTCCGAACATACGTTACCGCCTGCGAGGAGCGACAAAGAGCTGGATAACGACTGGGTAACCAAAAGAGGAGTAAAAAAAAGGGGGCGAAAAAAAACCACTGACAACGTGATTTGTTTCGAGATATGTGCTTAGGTTATGGTAATGCCAATACAGTTCCCAAAATGACATCAAATCGTACAAGAGACCGGCCACAATTTATGCAGAGCTCGGCGAAAAAGAGTCCCGGGGTCGGAAATTTGAACGATTTCGAATGCAGATGCCGCCAACAATGCATAACCGATGTGAGCCGGAGGACTTCCAGTTGGACCTGGCGTGTACTGGAGTACTGGAACGGGTCAAAAAAAATTAAAAAAAAAAAAAGGGAAAGAAAAAAAAGGAAGGCAAACCCAAAATCTGCCACAAAAATAAAAGGAGCGGGAAAAACCAGCAGAAATGAGCAGCAGTCTGGGCTATCTGGGCAAAAAGCAAAGGCGAAAAGCAAAAAGCAGCAAACTGAAAACTGAAAACTGAAAACTGACGACAGACGCAACGGACCGCCGCCGTCAAGTGTAAATGACAATCCGAGTAAATGCCGTCCGGCTGGATCGGGCGGATATACTCGTATATGTAGATAAATGTGCATGTGTGACCAAGTGGACCGATGCATAAAATCGACGCAAATGCGTTGCCTACACTGAGATAAAAATGCACGAGCTGCGTGCGTCGTTTGCATCTCATAAAAAAAGGGGGGAATCAAATTTGAAGTGCTAACCTCTTCGTGGGCAATAAATAAATCATTCGGAATAAATCGACGCAGATGCTAACAGTCTGGCAATAAGATGTGTCCACAATCATTACAATAAGGCGGATAAATTTGGAATTTATCACGCCACAAAGAGATCAATAAAAATCCAAAATGGTGGTCGCAAAACAAATATTATTCGATTCGAAAAAAAAGAAAAAACGCCCAATAAGCAAGTCATCCATCGAGCCACAGATCTCGAATACGAATGCCCAAGAATTTGAATAGTACTCCGATGAATATCCGTAAAACATTTTAATTAGCGCTAACGTTTCACGCAGATGATGCTCAGTACGTAAAAAGAAAAAATTAAATAAATAACTAACATAAAAAGGCTGACAAATTTTGTGCGCAGCCCAAGAAAAAAATGTACAATATGTCGTTGGCAGATGCTTCTTTTTCTTTTTTCTCGCAGTCCACTGTTTATTCGCTATAAAGTGGGCATGACACAAATAATAAAAATATAATATGGTTATTTAAATGTTCGGACATCTCTTGGATCAAACAAAAAGGTGGAAAAAGCCACCAGGAGAATGAGAAAGCAACACGTTGTGCGTTGTGCGTTGTGTGTTGTGTGTTTTTGTGATTTGTTTTTTGTGCGACTATCACAAGTGCGAAATGTAAATTTCCTGGGCGGAGCTCTCGGCTCAATAAATGGCAATCAAAGGTAGCAGCATCGAGGCATATGGAATATTTTTCAGTGATTTATAATGTTGCCGATGGATGGCGGATGGAGCGCAAATAGTGGTAAAATGCACACGGCAAAGTGTGTCGAAATTGTAAAAGTTAAAAGTTTTTAAAGACACATGTGTGTTCGTAGTACATTGTACGATGTACATATGTCTTATGTGTAGGTATAAAAGGCCTCTTTATATGCATTGTCAGCATTGATTGACAGTTAATTATTGTATTCCATAATCGTTTTTTTAAAGGCGGCTCGCTTAAATTGCTTTGTTTAGTCAAACAGTCAACACACAAGATTTTGAGTGCTTTTGTGAGTCTGTAATTTATTAGTTTCGAATACCCGTAAGTATCAAAGGGTGACATAAATGCAAACATTTGCCATACGCCACACACTCGCGCTCTCGCAAAGTTCTTACATATTTGTCTTGCGAAACTGCAGTAATCCAAAGTGGACAAATAACCCAGAAAAGCCACACAATTGAAAGATTAGTTCAAGATAAACGTCGTTCCAGCCAGAGAGCAATAATGATTCCGATTCCGATTCCGATGGCGATGGCGATGCCAATGCCGATTCCAATTCCAAGCCATAGCAATCCGTTGCCCTCGAGGTTCGATTTGTCTTGGCCTCTGAAGTTGGATTGTCGTACGCTTATTCGTTGCCCTCTCACTTGAGTTTATACATTTTTCCATTTTTCCTCGTTGTTAACTCTTTGTTTTTTGGCACAGCCAACTGCTTGTTGCCCTTTCTCTTCCTAGTTTCACCAGCATAAATAAGCCGGAGAAAGGGCGTTGGCGTTGATTCCAGGGAATTAGACAATAGAAACCATCAAACACGCCATGGAAATCGAGTTAATTTGCACTCAATGTGCAACCGATTACGGCCCAGAAAAGCCGAATGCCAAGAGAAGTAGAAATAGAAATGGTAAATGGCCAAGTGGGTAAATGAAAATGCAAACTGAAGCAACAAGCGGTCAAAGTGGTCAGCACTCCAAAGATCGAAGCCCAAATGCACTTCACTTCACTTCCGCGCGGAAAGGATGCCAAAATAAATTATAGCAATTTTCCAAATTAATGTTTTACTTGAGAGATATAATTTGGGTAACCGTGACATTTAAAATACAATTTAGTGAAATGAGCTGCTGGGAAAATGAGTTTTTAAATTAGAAAAAATTATAAATGCAAACCACTTATTTAAACATTCCATTACCAATCACATTGTATGCCAAATATTATGTGGAAAAAAAGTTCCGCCTTTGAATGCTACCTTTCGATATTCCCGACTGGTTTTCGACGTACGGAGAGCATCTTTAAAATGCAAAGTTCATTTTTATTTTATTGCCTGTCGGTGTAAAGAATATTGATATATTTTTCAAATCGACACCGAGTCTGTGTTTCTGACTCATTGCCAGCCACGCTTGTTTGTAGATATATGAAATATGATTATTATGATATTTGCAAGCACAACAAACAATCAACACTTTGCGATCCATTAAGGCAGCATTTTAGAGAGATTCAATTTCAGCAGATAACGTAACAAAGTTGCGATAATCGAAGCGCCGATTGCCGGCCAGGCCAACCAATATGGTTGCACCAGCTGGATTGTTGGATTGCTGGATTGCTGGTTGCTGGGTTGTTGGATTGCTGGATTGCTGGGGGATTGCAGTGAATTGATGACGCCGCCGGCGGATGGATGGTGTCCACTGGGCGGTGGTGGCCACCACTTCGTGGAGCACAGAGACGAGAAATTTAATAAGCGTTAACTGTTGCAAGAAAGCCGGAGTCATAAATATAGTCGACTACTGAGGGGTAAATTCAGTGGGAGCGAGATAATAAATCGCCGAGATGCAAACATAAATTTACATTTTTGATGATGATAATTCCTCTGGTACCGCCTGCCCGGCCATGAAACACCCAACCACCCAGCCACCCAGCCGCTGAAAATTGCTGCAAATTAAAATCCAAATCCAAGAGTCAACAAGGCGAATTTCCCTCCCAAGAAGCCAGCCAGACACTCAATGTTTAACTAATTAAGAGATGAGCCCCGGTCCGGGGTGCGATGTAAGCCCATGTTCAACATGGATGGGATGGGCGGAGGGCTCTGCAAAGGATTTGGAGCGCTGGGCAGGATGTGGGGTGAAGTGGGGTGATGGCGGGTGATGGTGGTGCCGCCACTTCGGAGTGGCTCAACCCAAACAGCTTCCGACTCTAATGTAGCCATAAAAAGCCGCAGCAGCTGACAGGCAGACAGCCAGCGATTGTAATCAAAGAAGTGCACTCAAAAGAAAACATGTACGAGT